CAAAGGAGAAGTTTTAGATAGTAGAACAACTAGATTTAATCAGTAAAAAATGCAAACGGCAAGCAGGTTAGTTTCAACATATATTTCACAAATATCGGCGTGCGGGGGCCGCGGACGGGCATGGCGGGCTTCCGGGCCGAGCCGCCGAGACCCCTGCCCCGGAGGCTGGCCGGCAGCCTCTGCGCGCCGCGATGGGACTCGGTGAGTGGGGCTGGCCTGCGGCGTACAAAGCCTCAGGGCGCGGACCTCGGGGAGATTCGGCGGCTCACCCGGGGCTGGGGGGACTCTGGCCCTACCCCCCGGGCCGGGGGAGCCGATGGGGAGGAGTCCAGGCGCCCGCAGTGCCCGGGTCTTCCCATCCCAGGGTCCGCGCTGTTTGCCAGGCACTGTGCTCGGCGCTTTTCCATACTTGTCTCCTTTAAGACGCCCCAATGCCCCGTCCGAGGGTGTAATGGGAAGGGTCCCTCAGTCAGAGGCCGAGGGCCGAGCCTCATCACATCGGTGCCCGCCTGACCTTGGGAAAGCTTCTTCACTCCGATCCTGGGCTGCTGCTACTGTAAATGGGGGTACGGTGGAGGGGGTGTTGCGGGGGAGTGCCTGCTCTAATACCACCCCCTGGTACTGTTGTGAGAGATAATGTACATAAATGATCACAGCTAAATTTTGAGCACTTTCTCTCTACCAGGCCCCAGGTACTAAACAGTTGGCGTGAGTTATCTAAATCATCACACCGGCGCTATGAGGGAGCTACTGTAAATTGCCCGAATAATCTTTATTTAGGAGTAGGAAACAGTGAAGGATTTATTTAGCCTCCCTCTTCCGATCCAGGAGATTGGTTGTTTCTTAGATGTGGTAACGTTTAAGATTACAAATGTTTCTGCAGTACAGGAGAGAGGTTATAGGATGCAGGGATCTATTTGTCACGCATTTAAAATGAGATAGAAAAATATCAGGGTCAGGGGTGTGGATTTCAGCTTGTCAGATGGGAGGTTGTGTTACCAAGGAAATTGTTAAATATGAATTCAAAACCATAGTTCCTGAGCTATGATTGAGGACTATTAGGGGAATTTGGGACGACAGAGAGAAAGGGGGAGGACTGGGGAGGGGGAGAGAGAGGCAAGAATTCTGAAGCTCTGGAAGGTGTTGAGGAAGAGACCAGGGTTCACCACCCCAGAAGCCTTCTGGACCAGGATTCCATCCTGCCCTTAGAGACCAGGCATCCTGCTGGGATGAGATCACAGGTTGTCTTTTCTTACTCCCAGGCCACCCCAAAAATATTCAGATGGGTTGAAAGCCAGACTCTTCCCAAAATGTCATTGTCCCTTCTTGTGATTCCTGAAATTCTTTTCATGTCTTTGAGGAGATTGGGGTACTCATGGACCCTAAAGGTTGATAAGACATTTAAGATACAAAGGCCTACCTGATGTAATGAAGGAGTGTGTTTTGAACACAATTCACTTGGTTAGAGAGCTGTGGGCATAAGGAGATTATTTGGGTGTTCAGTTTGGAATGGGGAGAATGGAAGGCTTTGAACCCTGAAGAAGGCAGAGAAAGGCAGGAAGGCCCAGGGGCTGTGCCCCCAGGAAAGGGACTAGTGACGGTGAAGGTAGGGAGCAGTGTGCATAGTGGAAAGTGCAGTTGCTTTGGAGAGATAGACAGTTTGGGGTTCAAATCCTGGCTCTGCCATTTATCAGCCGTGTAATTTTTTATGAGGATAAAACAATGTTTTTTTCAAAGGCCTGGTAGGGAGCTCAGCCAACACTAGTACCTTCTTCCCTGTCTATGGTGACATTCCTTCAACAAGTATCTGCTGAGCACCAGCTGTCTGCTGAGTCCTAGGTTTCCTGCTGGGGATACAGAGATGAGTCAGAAATTATGGATTCCCTTATGAATTTCCCAGTCCAGTGAGGGAGATGGACACAAAGAGCACATTACAAAAAATATGGGAAGTGCTACAGTATATAGTCATATACAACTGGCAGTGAGCTCACAGAGGAGTAACTAATTCACTCTGGATAGAAAACTCAGGGCCCAATTACCTCTAACAAGAGGAGTATGAGACTTTATGATAGAGATTTTGAATGCTACACCACCTCCTAACTTCTGTCTTTTTTTTTTTTTTTTTTTACCACCTTTGCCTTGTCTTTGCCCTGATATCTTTCTCGTAAAAAAGAAGTCTAGTTGCAGTGTGTGCATACTTTATAAGCTACCTCAGACTCATTTTAGAAGGAAGCTATTTTTTTTTTTTT